CTTCTGTCGAGCAATTTTAAAATGAAAGATTTGGGAGAAGCTAATGTTATTTTAAACATCAAGCTTATTAGAGAAGGTGATGGTGGGGTAACTCTGTTACAGTCCCACTATGTGGAAAAGGTATTAAGTCGCTTTGGTTTTAGTGACTGTGATCCTGCTCCCACGCCTTATGATCCTAGCGTGCTATTGAGGAAAAATCGAAGAATAGCAAGGGATCAACTGACATACTCCCAGATCATTGGCTCACTCATGTACCTTGCGAGTGCGATAAGGCCTGACATCTCATATGCTGTGAGCAAGCTGAGCCGGTTTGTGTCAAACCCGGGAGATGATCACTGGCGTGCTCTTGAGAGAGTATTGCGTTATCTGAAAGGTACTATGACTTATGGTATTCATTATACTGGACATCCAAAAGTGCTGGAAGGCTATTGTGATGCCAACTGGATTTCTGATGCTGATGAACTGTATGTCACGAGCGGATATGTGTTTCTGCTTGCAGATGGCGCTGTTTCCTGGAAGTCTTGCAAGCATACTATCTTAACGAAGTCTACAATGAAAGCAGAACTCACTGCATTAGACACTGCTGGAGCTGAGGCCGAGTGGCTTTGTGATTTCCTGTTGGATTTATCGGTAGTTGAAAAACCGATACCAGCTATCTCAATGAACTGTGACAACCAGACTGTGATTACAAAGGTCAACAGTTCCAGGAATAACATGAAGTCCACAAGGCATGTTAAAAGAAGATTAAAGACTGTCAGAAAGTTGAAAACCTCTGGAGTTATAACGTTGGACTATGTCCACACGTCGAATAATCTGGCAGATCAATTCACTAAGGGACTATCACGAAATGTGATAGAAAGTGCATCGAGAGAGATGGGTATGAGACCCACATAAAAGTCTACTGTAGTGGTAACCTGCTCTATGTGATCGGAGATCCCGTGAAGTAGAGTGGTGAAACAAGCTATAAGTAGATTGAGAGGAAAGTTCCCTATGAACCTATCTCTGATGCATATCTTTCTTTCTGTAAGGCAGGATGGTGTTTACCTTAATGTATTTCGAGAGTCTTATAAAGATGAGATGTTGTCCTACAGAACATCTTTTGAGAAGTACACCTATATGAGTCAGACTACTGGTCACAGTCTATGGGACCTGGGTTATCCCTAAACACTCATGAAAGGCATAGAAGTGTGACTTATATGCTTCAAACAGCGGGGATGCTTATTGCAACCTAGTACCAGCAAAGGACTTGAGTGAATCTCACCTCACACAAAACTGTCAATTCAAGGCATAGTCCATTATTCAGTTGTGACTGAGTGAAACTCTTGTTCTAGGTGGATGTTCAACTTAACAGTCTCCATCGAAACACTGGTATATCAAAGAATTGTGATTCTGGAACTATACAGTTACAAACCCTAGAGTTTGGTGGGGATTGTTGGATTTATTATGGGCTAGGCCCATTTATATATCTAATAAATTATAACTCCATGGCTTGTAATTGTGGGTATTATTATTTGTACCGGATTGGAAGTTAAAAGGACGCTGACTCAACTTAAATGATTGGAATGGATCCGTCTAATTTGAGAGGTTGAGAAACGGACAAGGGCGTGCCACACGCGCGCGCGCGCCGCCGCTGCCGCCGGCCGGGCCGGGCTCAGGCTCGGGCCGGGCGGGGGCGGGGCGTGGCGTGGCGTGGCAAGGCGACGCGAGGCAGGCAGACAGGCGGGCGGGCGTGGTGTGTTAATTTTTTGCACCCACTAACTCGACCTGACGCTTGATCTCCCTGAGTCTCTCGATCTTCCCGGCGCATGCCTCCGAGGCTTCTCGGCTTCCCTTGCGATTCTTCCAACTCCAGATAAAAAGAGAGAACATATTCCGGAAACGGGGTTCAGTTGCTCGATAGCTTTCCTCATCTCGTAACTCTGCGCGCACGGAGGAGCGAGAGGGCAGGTGCCTCCGAAGCCCTTGTCGTTCGGGACCTTGCACGGGGGATCGGCAATTAGGTTTTTGGGGAGCGTCTACGCGACTGCCCAAGAGTCTCCGTCTCCGTACGTCCGTACGTCGTCTTCTTCCCGATCACCGGCGTCTCCTTCTTCGAGTACAGCAGCATGTCGACTTCGGAATCACGGACGGGAGGGTATGACCATTTCATCTTCTCTCAGTTTATTCCATATGTCCAGAATTGCCGTTTTAAGAGATGTCTTATGTCTGTTTCTGTCAAATATATGCATTGTGTATGTGCTTTATTGTTACAGTCATGTTGCTTCATATGTAGCCTTATGCTTGTTGCAAATATGAGATGTATATCATGCCAGTTTCTCTCCGTTATGATTTATGAATCAAATTCACATGTTTTTGATTTTCATATGTTTCACATGATACATGATCTAGCATGTATTTTCATCATGGATATAACCAATGTCATGATTTCAATGATTAATATTTCTTTATATGTCATCATCATGCTGTTAAATTATGGAATTAAAATAACATAGAAATTACCTATTATTCTAACAGTCGCTGCCCTTCGCTACCACCGGCCGTCGCTGGCTCGCTGCCTCGCCTGAGCGGCTGCGTGCTATCCTCCACGTGCAACGGTGGCCGCCCTGTGTGAAAACTGAAAAAGGAGGAAGCGTTCCTCCGAAGGAAGAAATCAATCAATCAATCACGAGATGATTCCGCCGTTCCACCAGCGGCCAGGCAGCGCATCCTCCCGTTGACCTGCTACTGAGTCTCCGCTCGCAAGTCTCCGCCGCCGAGAACCAGAAAACGCAGCTACTTTTTAACATTCTCCGTCACATCGAATCTTTAACACATAAAGCATTAAATATAAATAAAAAATAAAACTAATTACACAGTTTAGACGAAATTCACGAGACGAATCTTTTAAGGCTAATTAAATTATGATTGGACACTAATTATCAAATAACAACGAAAATACTATAGTACCATTTTCTAAAAAATTTCGCGGACTCAACAGGGTCTCGGGGACGAAGGACCAACCAAGCGATTCCGTGAAGGTGAAGGTTTCGGCAGACGGCAGGGCCTGAGGAGTGAGGAGCATACCGCGTACGACACCAGGCATGCGGTGCAGCTGTGCAGGCGCAGCAACCATCGGAACACTTCACCAGGCCGCATCGCAAATCACAGTCACGCGAAGCCAAATTAGGTATCAGAACGGCGCGCCATTCCACAATCGACGATCCTCTGGTTTCGCCATCTCGCAAGTTGCAGCTCAAAGTCACCGTGCGAGTCACCACGCGCTTGCGTCCCAGTCGGCGGCGGGTGCTGTGCTGCTGGCCGTGGCACGCTACAGCATGTTCGTTTGGCTGTGGTTCGTCGTAAACGATCGTAAATTTCCAGCCGGAACAGTATTTTTCTCTCACACAAACCAGCCAGCGGTACTTCTTTCCGAACCAGCAACGATACGAACCAGCCAACCAAAAACCAAAAACGGCGGTTCCACCAATTGGTCATCGGTATTCGGGGCTGGTCCAAGCGAAGCAAGCGTGAAATTTGGACCCGCCAGATTCCAGCTACGTCCATCTGCACTGCACCTGCGCAAACAGAAGCAACACGGGAGTTCCAGCTACGATCGACGACCATCTCCTGCTTTGCATTGCCTGTGCTGATCCTCATATTGCGTGCAACGTGCCACTGGTCGCCTTCCGATCTACCGTCTACGGCCAAGAGCCTAAGAAATTTACTGCCGCTGTCACTTGTTCCACAGCGACCGTTGTGATTGGGTTCATTACGTTTGAAACAAACTGACACCATTCATTTCACTGGTTGTGGACACCTATCTAAATGGGCTGTAAATTGTGGCCTTTGGGGGCTACCATTCAAAGACAAAGACAACTGTTACTAGTTGATTTGGGCCTGGACCGTCATTAGTGGGCCGTTCATACCATTTTGGGCCTGTCGAGCTCGCTTGGGTCGTCGCCGCCCCGAGCTCATGACACGAGCGGCAGGAAGCAGTGGCTGCGCCGTCCCGTCCTTGCGCTGCTACGACAAGTCCGCCCAAGTGGGTCACTCGTCACGCCCATCTCATTCCGTCGCAGCGCCGTTGCGGACGCAGGCAGCCACGCAGGCAGGAGCTCGCCCTCCCGCCTTGCCTGTGCGTACTTCCACCTCGTCAGTCCCCCCGCCGCCGCGCCGCCGGCCCCTCCACCTACCCTCGGCGCCCGCCCTTCCTGGCCCAGCGCCCCTGCACGTCTGCCTGCCCCCTCCTCCGCCGCCGCCGCCGCCGCCGGCGATCGCGGGCGGCCGCCCCAACGGGTGAGTCACGGAACTCGTCTCTGGATCGCTTGGGCCCTCGCCAGATCCGATCCGGCCGCGGGCGGCTGCCGGTTTCTATCCCGGTGCTGGGGCACGCTGCTAGATCTTACTGCTTGGGGGGTAGTTGCCGTTCGCTTGGATCGACGGTTTGGTGGGTTGCGATGCCGGGTGCCGTTAACCAGGGAAAACTGGCGGCTTTGGCTCGTTGCTAGGATGGAATTGCCGGTTCGTCGGTTGTGATTTGGTGCAGTGTGGGTTGGATGAATGGTGGAAAGCTAGGATTGAGTTTTAGCCTTTTAGGGCTCTTTGTCTTCGCGTGTTATATTATAAGATGTTGGTGTTGTTCGTGGATTGGTAGTGACCTTGCTCCAAGGTTTCAGTTTAGAGGATGTCTTCGTCTTTTAAGGCATGGTATTCCTAGCTGAGGAGCTGGAAACCTATTTTTGTACTCTTCTGAAAATGAGAATGTTGCCTTGATGTCCAGCATGGCAGTGCATTTCCATTTTTTCTTTATTGGTTTGATGTCGCAGCGTTAGTTTGCAAGCTAACTTTTGAACCTTTCTGCAGGCCGAGGTTGCATAGAGCCATAGAGGTGCTGGTATCTTACTCCGCTGCTGGTTATGCTATCTGCTTATGACTGCAGTTTCCCGAACTTCTCCCTGCTTCTTGCCCCTGGTTGGTAAAATTGTGTAATAACTGCTGCCCTGACTGCGAAAGACGCAACTATGCGTCTTTCTTCTTCTCTTCAAGATCTGCCGACCTTCACTAGAATTGATGCTTTGGAAGGGGGCTCTAGTGTTGGCAGTGATCTGAGCTCAGGACGTGCAAAACCTGTCCGCATGCTTCAAAGAGATGGTGCTGTCGCAAGCTTTTCCAAAGAAAGAACACCCCCATCATCACCGACAAATAGAAAGAAATGCATGAGAGCAGCCGGATGTGCTATTGCACTGAGCTTATTGGTGTTCTTTGCATATGGTTCTTGGAGATATTTCCATGTGTTCCTCTCTGAAGGAAGCTCTGAATACTTTGTGGTTCTTGATTGTGGCAGCACTGGTACAAGAGTTTATGTCTATGAATGGCATCTTAATCATAATGACGCAAATGCATTTCCTATTGTTTTGAAACCTATAGGGAATGCTCCTAAGAAGAAATCTGGTAAATTAACCCGACTATATCAGCGAATGGAGACAGAACCTGGATTGAGCAAGCTTGTTCACAATGAATCCGGATTGAAGAAGGCAATAGAGCCCCTTCTTCAAATGGCTGAGAAATTGATCCCTAGACATGCACACAAACATACTCCACTTTTTCTTTATGCTACTGCTGGTGTCCGCAAGCTACCTAGTGCAGATTCAGAGTGGCTCCTGGATAAGGCCTGGGATATTCTGAACAATTCATCATTTTTATGTAGTAGAGACAGAGTTAAGATCATTAGTGGCATGGATGAAGCTTATTATGGATGGATAGCTCTTAACCACCACATGAATATGCTTGGCACCTCATCATCTAAAATGACATATGGTTCACTTGATTTAGGTGGATCGTCATTACAGGTTACATTTGAGAATGATAAATCAGTGCAGGATGAGACAAGCATTCGTCTGAGTATTGGTTCAGTTGATCATCACCTTAGTGCTTATTCTCTTACTGGTTATGGGTTAAATGATGCATTTGATAAATCTGTAGCACATCTAGTGAAAAGGTTGGGAGCAGCAGCTAGTAATGGCAAGGTTCAAGTCAAACATCCCTGTCTACAGACTGGATACAAAGAAGATTACACTTGTTCTTACTGCCACCCATTAAAACAAGATGGAAGTCCCAGTGTTGGTGAGAAGAACACTGGCAAAGAGAAGCAGGGAATAGCTGTTGAACTGGTTGGAGCACCTCAGTGGAATGAATGTAGTGCTCTTGCAAAAGTTACAGTCAACCTTTCTGAGTGGTCCAGTGCAAGTCCAGGGCTTGATTGTAACATTCATCCTTGTGCTCTTGCTTCTAACTTTCCCCAACCACATGGTCAGTTTTTTGCTATGTCTGGCTTCTTTGTGGTTTTAAATTTTTTAATTTGACTGCTGATGCGACTCTAGTTGATGTTCTAAAAAGAGGTCAGGAGTTTTGTGAAAACCATGGAAAGTTGCAAAGAGTAGTGTTCCTCCACAGCCTTTTGTAGAGCAATATTGCTTCAGAGCTCCTTATATTTCATCACTACTGAGAGAGGGATTGCAGATTAAAGATAGTCAGGTGATAATCGGCTCTGGCAGTATTACTTGGACTCTTGGAGTTGCTTTGTTGGAGGCTGGTCAGGCATTATCTTCACGACTAGATATTCAAGGATACCGAATACTGCACTGGGAGATAAACCCAAATATTCTCATAGTATTGTTTCTGATTTCAATTGTGTTGGTCATATGTGCCATACTTTGCGCCAGCAATTCAATCCCAAGATCATTCCGCAAGTCTTATCTGCCACTTCATAGGCATAATTCTGGAGGCAGTTCTGTTCTTGGTGTGGGATTGCCTTTCAAACATTTATGGAATCCCATTAGTTCAGGTATGTGCAAGTGTGTTTTTCTGTTTTATGTTCCTGCCATCTTTGTTTCTCCCCTTCTGTATAAAGTTAACCTACCATGTAAGGACTACACTACTTGAATTATTTTCACCATGGTTGGCTTCTAGATACACTTTTTTTTAAGACAAAGGGTTCTTAACTTGTTTGGTTGGAAAGCGACTTGCAATTTTGTTTTTTTAGAAAATGGAAGAGACTCACGCTTCTGTGTCTCCGCACACAGCTTTCTTGCCATTTTGTTAGTTTCGTATATTCTACTAACCTTCTAGGAATCAACTTTACATAGAACTGTTGTGTGGTGCAACTTGCAGGACATGGGACTTTTCATGTTCACTTCAGTTTACTTGTTACAAAATGCCATTTGAACTGAACTTTGTAATGTTACCTCAGATGTACCTTATATCACATTAATCCTTGTGACTCTTTTCTACGAAATGATACACACAGAATGAGTATATTTTTCATCACATGAATTCAAACTAAGTTCTTTAAAAAATTGTGAATCTTACTTTCTTTACTGTAGCTTAGCTTAGATAATCAAACATTTGAATTTTCTTAATTTTGCAGGTGATGGAAGAACAAAGACACCACTGAGCCCTACTGTTGCTGGGTCAGATCCTCATCCATTTGGTATGAGCCATGGATTAGGAGGCAGCAATGTTCAGCTTATGGAGTCCTCAAGGCAATCCTTGGGCGCCTATCACAGCTATTCTGTTGGGAGCTTAGGTCAGATGCAGTTTTCCAGTGGTGTGAGGAACCCTAGCCGAGGTCAGACTACACTTCAAAGCGGAGGTCGTGAGTCAAGAGAAGATCTCATTTCTTCAGTTGCTGATATTCATGTTCCAAAAGTGTAGTATTGCGTCACAGAATGACGACTAGAATGAGATCCTATATGCCATAACAAACTCTGTAAATAATAGCTCCAGAGTTCAAACTGCTTGATTTCTTCTCTAATCAGAAGTCAATTTTGTCGGTCCACTGACACTTCAATGAGGTTTAGGATTCATATAAATGAACTTGTAACTATCCTGGACATGATACATCCATTCATACCATTGTATGTGCCCAAGAACATACCATAACAGTGAAGTTCTAGTAGTGTACCGGAAGATATATTTATGCCGTTCACCAGTATGGTTGACCGTGTCTACAACCTGCAAGTTTGTAGATCGATTGTGCTGCAATCAGGCATGTTTTTTTTATTGTTTTTATCTGAGACATAATAAAGGTGCATGTGGTCTCATGTATTGTTGTACCCTCTAGGCTCTAGTGGCTCTGTGAGCCTCCTCTTCTTTCCTGGAATGTCTTTTGGCAGGCCACCTTGTGATATCAATTGAAATCATGAAACAGAAACACTGACATCAGTTCTACTGGATTATCCAATTGCGTCCTGTGCAGACACATTTATTGATAATTTTTGCATAGAATCTACTTTGATGACCCTGAAAAAATCAGTATAGGAACATTTGTGCTCCTGTTTCCCCCGTTGAGCGGAGTGTGATCTCTCGTCTTGTACACATTGCTTGTGGCTCGTTTCAGGTTCCATTGGCCATTGCTCGCGCGGCGTGTCTCCTGCCTCGGTAGTTTTCCAAAACAAGGCCCTCTACTAGCAATAAATTTTCTTATCCTCGGTACAGTGCACGCGTTTAAAATATTAGGAGTAGGGCCTTGATCTACAGTGCATTTTAATGTGAATGAGAAAATCCAGGTTCTTGTTTTTTTAGAAAACACCCAATGTCTTGTTTTTTATGTTATTAAATTCACCTCAATCCACATGTGCTGGGGTTGTTTGGGTTGAAATTTAGTTTAAGTTTTACCCCAATCTATCCTAACACATGTGGATTCTTATGAATCCGACTACATCCAAGTAAGGACAAATGAGATTTTATGGAGGATTTTGTGCCAACAGGCACGGCGAAAAAAACGTGAGCACCAAGGAAAACATTTTTTTCTGTTAGGGCGGTAGAACTCACGTAGAAATTTCGAGTGGTTCCGTCAAATAGCCTTTTAGATTATGTGATGTTTCTATTGAAAAGTGATACTATGCTGATTTTGTGTAGTGATCATCCGAAATGAACAAAGAGTTGGAAGCTAAAAAAATAACTTCTCCTAATTCACACCTTACAATTATACGTAAAACATTTTCAGTTAGAAAATTATCTCTCAGACAATCATCTTTCCCGGAAAATAACATGTCTTATTCTAACAAGCTCTCGTGATGCTCTACTAGTAGTTTCTTATGGCGTTGGCCTCTAATATTTTTTATACACTTCAGTTATAGGAAGGTTAATATATAGGAAATTTTATGCCTGTTCAAGGACACGTCTCTGACTCTGACATGTGGGCTCATCGGTCAGGGTAAGAACCAAAACAAAACAAGTCGCGCGACTTGTGATCTTGTTCACATGTCGACCCTACGATACGACCGAAGCACCCGCAGCACGAATCGTGACGCAGATCAAGCAAACCCTAACTGCCAACCCTACTATAAATCTTTCTCGCCTGGACTCACTCCCGCAGCCGCCGCCGCCGCCCTCGAAGTCGAAGCCCGTCGCTTCCGCCCCCCGCAGCGTCGTCGACCCTCACAGCCGGTCTCCTACCTCCGCCGCCATGGGGTGAGTCTCCCCCTTCTCGTTCCGGCGTCCTGCACCCGTGCTCGTTGTTTCGAGGCGTTCCTTTGCCGTAATCAAAGCCTCTGTTTTCTTGCGTTGATGCGTAGATTTTGCCGCGTGGCCTGTGATTTAGCCAGTTTTCTTATGTGATTAGAGAATGGAATCGGGTTAGAGGCGAAAAGCAAAATCCGAGCTTATTGACGGTCCAGTGCTGATCAGATTATACACCGTCAGTGCTAAACATATTCATAAGCTACACCAATCCGTTGCCGCTGTGTAGCCATGCGCTCCAGGATTCAATCGCTTGGATCCATGAGGTTATGCGTGGTGGCATACAAGTCCTCTGTTAAAGGGGTATCGGACGTTTTAAGAATCTCCTCTTCTGGGTTGATCTGTTTTGTTATTGTTAGGTTTTTGACTGTGACCTTTTGTTTTGTTATGATGTTACCAGTGAGCGCTAGTCGTCAGTGGATGTACTTGTTTGGTCTAGCTAAAAGAATGGATTTGTGTGTACCTTCTGTTTACAGTTCTACTAGATGGAATGATGTCTGTTTGCAACACTGATACAATTCTTTCAGTACTGAATTGTTTACATTGTTGCATTTTTATGAATGATTGTATCATGTTGTTGTGCATTTGCTACATGATTTTAGCATGGTAGGGTGTATCATGGTGCACATGTTTATGCAATGGACATGGAGACTTGTGGTCATGAGTTGCAGAACCAGTGATTTATGTCTGAGTTCAACATATTGTTCTTGAATTTGCATCACAGGAAGACACGCGGTATGGGAGCTGGGCGCAAGCTCAAGACCCACCGCAGGAACCAGAGGTGGGCTGACAAAGCATACAAGAAGAGCCACTTGGGCAATGAGTGGAAGAAACCCTTTGCTGGATCATCTCACGCCAAGGGCATCGTTCTGGAGAAGATGTATGTCAGATATGGGAATGATTTGTGCTTTTATTATCTTGTACTTTATGTGCTTGGGCTAAGGTTTGTTGCTTCCATTGTGTAGTGGTATTGAGGCCAAGCAGCCGAACTCTGCCATCCGTAAGTGTGCCCGTGTTCAGCTGGTGAAGAATGGGAAGAAGATTGCTGCCTTTGTGCCGAATGATGGTTGCCTGAACTACATTGAGGAGAATGTATGTTCCTTGACCAATTTTCCTTGCAATGATTAAAAAATCTATGTGATGAAAAAGCTAACCATCTCTCTTGCTGTAGGATGAGGTGTTGATTGCTGGATTTGGTCGTAAGGGCCATGCTGTGGGAGATATTCCTGGTGTCAGGTTCAAGGTTGTGAAGGTATCTGGTGTGTCGCTGCTTGCACTCTTCAAGGAGAAGAAGGAGAAGCCAAGGTCTTAGATTCCTTTCGATAGTCAAGAATGGAGTAAACTGTCAAGGCTCTATTATCAAACTTAAAGTTGTGCTAGCAACAGAGATGTTAATTCTGAGCTGTATTTTTTGTTGACATTGCTATCGAGAGTTTTGTTTCCATTCTGAAGATATTAATATGCATCAGCATGTGCCGGTTCAGTGAGCTGTATGTTTTGATATTGTATTGCACTGTTGTTTGTTTTGCCCCAGCAAAGTTTCCCTGGGGTTGAAGATTGCTTCGTAAGAAGTCTGCCCTCTAGCCATTCTACAAGTTGCATTTTCATAATATTTGTAAAATGCTTCATAATGTCAGTACGTCGGCCAAAATGACCCAGAGCAGGAAGGGTAACTGGGTAAGCTTTCCTCTGATCTGTCCCCAGTCAATTTCGGGCACGATGGCAACTAAAATCCCACTATCAGCAATGGAAATGGAGAAATGATTGTCTATTCTGATTTCTGAAAAGCCTTTTTTTTTGTGTTACAGAACTATGAGGAGAGCCAACTGACGATCTGCAATGGCAATGGTGGTACCTGGAACAAGAAATAATTGTCTGTTTTGAAAAGCCAGTTTTTTTTATGGTGTCGCAAAACTATCCAAATAGCAACTCAAGCACTGAAGCATAGTAACAGCAACAATTACAATGGTTGAGGGGGTAATTTACAGGCGCCCCTCCTCTCCGGTGCCCCAACTGCTCTCCGGGCCCTCGCCCCCAGCTGCTCACCGCCGGCGCGCTAAAGTTTCATCAAAGCTCCATCGAAACCCTACTGGAGCTCCCCCCCCCCTACCTGACTCAACCGCCGTCAGGACCCCTAAACCGCCCTCCCATCATCCCCACCGCTTTGCTGGCCTTCTTCCCCCAACCCCTTCTCTTCTAAACCAACCAGAGTTGAGGAAGGGAGGTTGGGGTGGCACGGTGAGGAAGAACAGTGCACTGATAGGACCCACCACGTGCGCTAGAGCAAGATGGGGGAGGTGAGCGTGCAGTGGCCGAAAAAAATTGACCTGCTGTTTTTAAGTTATTACCATGTTTTCCATGTGATCGGATAGTGTAAGGGGCGCAAAATACATCATATAAAATTCTGGATGTTTCATCGGCAAACTTGAAAATCTAGACTAATAACGGCCATAGAGGGCTCCTGCTTCACAATAATATCATAATATCGAAACCATGGCATACATCAAGCTATCAAAGTTAGTGGTCATCCTGCGACGAATGCGCTTCAGTCGCCTGTACATTGCAGCACGTATGTGCGCAGCCATGAGGATGCGCATAGCCTCCAAACCATACATCTGTCACGGGAGGGGTCAGAGTGTCTGGAGATCATCCTGAAGTTAGAGCAGGCATGCGTAAGATCGGATACTAACTAGTACAGACAAAGCCTGTGCAAATTCTAGTTTCATTCAAGAAAACTCACCGTCTTGACCTCGTTGGCTGGCATTGTTAATATGACGCAGTCACCAGCTGTTTATAAAAAAGAAGCTATGTCATATTCTCAGTTAGGCAAGTCTGATCATGAATCTGCTGTATAAAACAGCATCTTATTCAGACCAAGAGCAATGCTATAACTTCTTGGCCCTAACCAGATCTGTAGGACTTTACCTGATACATCCCTGATCCTTTTTTAATAAGGTAACCTTCAATGTTTATCTTTTCTATAAGAGCGTCGAAGTCTGGAACTCGCAAGCTGATCTTATCAGCTAAGGTGCAAAGCTCCTGGTACTCGGCAAAATGATAGAACATGAGGGCAGTGTCAGGAATTACGAAAAAGGCACAAAAGAAAAGGTATGCATGTGTTGTTTTTGTGCAAACAAGCCAGAAATTGATTTTCCTGTTTAATTGACCAAAAATGCTCACACAGAAATTTCAAGAATGTGCGTGTGTTTTTTGTTAAGTGCGGAAAAAACAAGTATACAAGAGAATGTGATTTTTTTTCTTTTGTAAAGAAAAAGTTTTATTGCAGAAATACGTATGTTGCGATGGATTTGCGGTCACATAAGAATGGACCGAGTTCGGAACGATGATATACGTGATCGTCTAGAGGTAGCACCAATTGAAGAAAAGCTTGTCCAACATCGACTGAGGTGGTTTGGCCATATCCAAAGGAGACCTCCAGAGGCACCAGTGCATTGTGGACTCCTAAGCCAAGCTAATAATATGAGGAGAGGTAGAGGAAGACCGAAATTGACATGGGGGGAGGGCGGGAGACAATAAAAAGATATTTGAAAGCTTGGGATATACCTAGAGATCTATGTTTGAATAGGAGTACTTGGAAAGCAGCTATTGAAGTGCCTGAACCGTGACTTGGGGCTCTTGGTGGGCTTCAACTCTAGCCTACCCCAACTTGCTTGGGACTGAAAGGCTATGTTGTTGTTGTTGTTGTTGTTGTTGTAAAGAAAAAGTTACAAGAAAAGAAAAATGCTCAAAATGCAGTAGTGGCTTTTCTTCCAAACAGGGCAGATTCTGAATGGTAATTGAACTTAAAAGGAAGATTTGCCACATCACTTACAGTTTTTGAAAAGCAGTCTTTTTGCTGCAACTCAGATTCCTTGTTTAATGCATTCAGAAACCTCTTTGCCTCCTTCGGTTGGATCATCCCACCGCTCCGAGCAAAATCGACATAACCATGTTCATCAACATATTTGTCATACAGAGATTCTTTCATGATATCAACAACATCCTGCCAAGTGCCACATGACAAATTGAACATTAAAATAATATGCCTCATGCTGCTGCTTATAATTGTATTTTGTTGACAGACATGTGTTTGGCTGGAAAAGAGCTACACTCAGGCGTAGGCATCATGAACCACATATCTCTTAGCTAGTGTCTCATAACCCCAGGTTTCATGGTGAAAATATCTTATAAAAGCATATTCTAATAGACGAAGCAGTTCAACAAGCAGAATGGATTGAAGAGAGTTCTGTAAAATCTTGGTCCATTGTGTTGTGTCGCCGGTATGGCGGCAATGATGGGGGGAGTGGGCGGCGAGCCTCAACTATGAAGATCGCGACTAGGATTGGAGCGAGGTTTTACCCCTCAGCTCCTTATTTTGATTAGAGAGGGATAGAGAGTAGGCTAATTCATTCTTGATTCAATCTGTTGTGCCAAATCGCTTACACAGGCCTGCAGCCAAAGCTCCCCAAACAAACTCCTAAATTCACTCCATCTTATTCTTAAATCGCTCAAATCAATAACCTCCTTGGCTAAGTTCTAGACCTGCCTGTTTGGGACTGATCAACCACTGTCATGGCCTGATGTGGTCGCTGCCCTTTTGCCGCGCCTTGTGAAGGACTTGCCCCACGTGACACATTGCAACTAGTCAATAAACATTTCGATTTCTGCAATTATGACCATAAAGCATGTGTTCTTGTGAGACTTTCTAAGTTGCATTCTACTAACATGGCAAGAATATTAAATGACAAAGCCGCAGTGGAAAATGTGGACTGTCTAACTATGGCTCTAAACAGTTTCTGCAGAACTCAAATACTCAGTTATTTCACCTGAGCGTCTTCTTCAGTCACTTCATCTCTTAGATCCACACGAGCACGAGCTTCAGCTAATCTGACTAGGCTTTCTAACTGCCTGGCTGTGATGGGTGTACCATCAGCAGAAGTGCTGCGGTTTCTCAACTTCAAATAAAAGTCTTTCAGAATTGCAGCTGCTGCCTTTGACATTCTTAAAGAGGGGAGAAAAGTGAATGAGAAAGGGCATAATAAAGCATAAAAAGTAAACTACTCTTTGCATTGCACTTGTGATAAAAGTACAATATTTTTTTTAACGTAACTAAAAGTACAATAATAACAAGATACCGGGGAAGACATGTTCTCTTGAATAAGATATATATATTTGCGAAGAAGTTGCCCAGCTAATGGAGTGAAACCCTTGTCTTTCTCTGGGTGTAGCCTCAGTCTTGAAGCTACTGAATTTCCACTAACTCCAAGCCCCAGATCACCATTAAATTGTGACACTGAGCAAAGTTCCAGAACATGAACAATGGCTTACACTTCACTTGTACAATAGATTAAAAAAACACAAAATAATATGTAATAATAACCTGTTCTGATCCTCTTGTTGGGTCTGAAATTATCAAGATCATTGGTATGGAACTGCTTGCAGGAAATTTTGGCTTAGTAATTCAATTAGTAGTATGTTCGGTAAGACAAAATCATTCTTACAAATTATAGATTCAATGCATTACATGAGAATGTCACTATGCTTTGTGAGATATGAATTGGCAAACATGTTTGACAGGCACTTACAGCTATTATATGGTCTGACACTCTTTTATCTAGTGACTCATCTGGCTTGTCAAGTAGAATAAACACCAAGTCAAACCGAGAAAGGAGGGCAGCACTCATCTTCAGATTCTCGTTCACTGTTTTTTTGCTCGACTGCAACAAACAGTGTATTTAGATGGCAATAAAATGGCCATACAATAGCCATGGGAATTCAGGCTTGAATCCTCAGTAAAAACAAAGCAAAAAAAAAGAGAGAAGAGATAAGTATACTTGACATCAATGTCAATCGCATAAACTACCAATGGCCAAGAGAAGTGAATTGGGACAAACTACACCACAAAATATCAACAGATGAATGGTTTTACTTCGAGTTCAGTTCTTCAGTTGCAAACTTGCAGTTTAGGACCAAAGTTAAAAGTTCAATCAAGTAATGTTTCATATGATAAAATCACCACCACATACCACTCTAGACCACCTAAACTACTAGAATAATTCCACATACATCTGTCTTTAACGGTAGATGCTATCAGTATTTCTATAAAAAAAAAGGTGAACGGAGATGAGTGGTCAAGAATGACAGGTATCATTCTCAGCCTTAACAGTACATGGCATCAGCATATCTTTTTCAAAAAAAAAAAAAAATGAATGAATGGGGATGTCCGATCAAGAACACTGAATGGAGAGAAATAACAAGTTTTTCAAAAAGTAGGATGGAAAATATTAACGCACTCATAATGACCACCAATAGGATTTGCAGCTGCCAACACTGAAGTACGAGCTGATAAACTTGCTACAAGGCCAGCCTTTGCAACAGAAACACATTGCTGCTCCATGGCTTCAAGTAAAGCCTGAGAACCAGAAACAGAAACACAATTAGATAGGCATGTGAACTTCCTCAACAGTGAACACTTCATTGAAAACCTTCATAAGGTGAAAAATAATTGTAATACCTGATGCTCTGCAAACATTTTATCAAACTCATCAATACAGCATATTCCACGATCAGCAAGGACCATGGCACCTGTGAGTCAAGGACCCAACTTTATTTTGATCTCATTGCAAATTCTAAAACCACAAGCACTTAGAACAGCAATTGGTATGACAAGAAAAAAAAATGCCATCATTAAGACACGATTTTGAACAGAAGGCTTAAAAAATTATAATGAAGGAATATATGTTTTATGGTTACCAGCCTCAAATGCATAATCATTTGTCATAGAATCTTTAACCACTGCAACAGTTAGGCCAGCCTTTGTTGTCGTATTCCCACATACATATATTCCTCGTGGGGAAACAGCGGCTGCAGCTTGGAGGAGTTGGCTCTTGCCTAACCCTGGATCACCTGTAGTATTTTAAGCAAGAGCATAATCGCATCATGAACAACACTATGGAAGTTCTGACAGGATTTATGGTAAACAAAGAAATTACCAACTACAATAACATGAATATCTCCACGAACAGGGACCTTGTTTTGATCCATTAAGTTCTTCTGCACACCGCCAAACAGAGCGAGTGTGATACCAGCTGAAAATCAGTGTACATGAATTTAGTTATATTGAACAATCATATGCAAAAAAGAGAGAAATGAAATCAGCAGGCCTGGATGACTAAAAGGAGTGCCTTGACCATTTTCCATAGACATCCTAAAGTAACTGCAGCTGATAATGGCTTTGTTAGCCCCTCAACTATTGAAATGCTTCAGATTGTGATGCACTCTTATAGACAGAAATTGAAGGGGGCAAGAGATTTCACAATATCACATCTTCAAATATTGGGACAATAGAGCAGATTGAATAGAAGATTTCATAACAACATTAAATAACCGGCAGATATCTTGTAACTCTGATATAATACAGGGGCTAGAAAATACCTTTTACAAGTTCATGCCCATAGATAGAGGGGCAAAAGGATTGAAGTATTCGGCGAAATACATCGGTACCATATCTTTCTCTATATTTGACAGCGAAATCATCCTTTTCAGTACAAGACTGAAAATGACAAATCCCACTAGCCTGAATTTCTTTGTCTGAAACAGCATGGGACTTCGACTTTCTTACTGAAACTGCCTCCAGGTACAGGTAGTATAAACCCTGATTACTGATTCTGGACTTCCCTGAAGATATTAGTTATAGATCTATAAAATATTCAAACAAAGTGCTCTAAATTAAAAAAAAAAAAAAGTGAAAGCTCAAACAATTTGTTTAGAACAAAACAAGTGTCTCTAGTGCTTACTAGCATGTGCATGAAGGACCTGAAGATAAGGACAGCAACTAAACCTAATCACTACTTTGTTTTCTCCATCTCATCATATTATCAATATTCTTGAGTCTTAAATTCAAGAAACTACAAGAAATAATGGAACACAGGAAATAGGGAATGTTTTAGCAATATAAAGTAATAGAGATGTCCTTATGTTGACAAATACATGTAGGTTTCTGTAAGAGTAATATGCATCACATTAAATACTTCTAATGAACTACTTATGCCCCATAGTCCATAGCGCCCAGAGCTAGACTTCCAAATAAATGAACAAACAAAACAAAAGGTTGACAATGCTATATTACTCTAGATATGGCATAGATAATCCAAGGATCTAAACAGACTAACAACTTTTGACAAATAAATTTATTGTTAAAACAATTAGTGAAATATCACAAGGAAATTTAAGAAAAGAGCACTGTTGTAGCCACTTTGCATGTACCTCCTCCAACATCCATATAGTTGTTAAGCACTTTCACAATTCCAGTTACTGTTACGATCTCTCCAGGGATGCAACAATCAACGAGGTCTTCTGTAAGCTCACACTCTACGGTCCGTGGCACTCGGCCCTCTTCGTGGTTGTCAGCACTTGCAAGCTCCTGTATTCTGGATGGGAACATAAGAAAAGTAAAGCTTTTAGCACAATACAAGTGGAGGAAAACTCAGATGAGTTTACTTGTCCCTTGCCTAATTTTCTGGAAATCCACCAGCTGTGCACTAGATCTATCTGGGATAAAGCTCCTGCTCTTGCATCCCTGAATGATACAGGACATTGGAGGAGAAAATTTTCCATCACAGAACATACGGGGGATTTTTTTACCACACTTCATGCATCGGAATTCCAGCTGCTGAACAAGAGGTTTTACAGGGCTGACTTTGAGCACAGTACCATGCACTGTGATAAGTTTCTCTACAAAGGGAAACGAAAATCCACACATCAGTACTTATATGCGCACTAATAAAATATAAAACACATGAATAGAGGCAAAAAGTGATTTACTAATAAAGGCTGCTTTTAGTTGCTTTAATGCAATAACCGGCCCCGTGTTGTAAAGCCTGATATTGATCTTGTTGAATTTTGCGTTCAAAAAGATCTTGTTGATTTTGCTCGAGCGCAGAGCCTAAAACAATATCAAGAATAAACATACATTGAATGGAAGTAGCATATGGTCCACTACCATACTAGTAAATTATAAGATGAATAGACATCAACCAGATCAGCTGCAACTCCCATGCAAAGCAAGGCTTCTTTTGGGGATTCATTGAGTTTATCTTTAATAAACACACACATCTCCTGAAGCTGCTGGAAATCAATTGGAAGACATATGATGTCATTGCCATCATCTTCAATCTGTGCACATAGAAGTAAGCACATGAGCCAAGCGGGGTGAGTTCCTGCATTTACAATATGTACTTTTCACAATGATCGTACAAGAAATCATACAGCACCTAGAAAAAAGCTGCTAAAGAGTTCCTTAAGTATAATATACACATAAAAAAACATGGTAATGTAAGGCAGACAGCCATTAGCCATTAATTGTGCTAGAGGCTCTTATGCTCTCATGCTTTAAGAAATAGAAAACTCCAAAGGTATACTTGCTCTGTTAAACTTTTCAGAAGATATCAATGAGGCTGACTTTGAAACAATTATATTGTCTACAGCACTATCACAAAACTTTAAAGAAGCATTTACTTGAAAAAAGAAATGCGTCTCTGTTGTGATGTACTCTACAAATTACAATTCTAAAGACAGGTTAGTATTCCAATATCCATGATTTATAACATACTATGCCTTGTGCATTGGCCTTAGAGTAGGCATATCACAAGGGACTTAGGAAGATAACTGTACCCCTTTTGTCAGTACAGGCTGCATATTACAAACTCTTGCACAAGCAGATAGGGAACCTTAATCCTAAATTTGGAAAAACAGCACGCATGACCACTTAATCAAGATAATGAGCTGCATAGTTCCTTTGTATTGGTTACTAAAGCTGATCAGTTGAATATTGACAGTGGAAGTGAGAGCTGCACCTTATACAGGAGATGCACCATTTGTCATTGTAAAAAAAAAAAAACGAAGCTATAGATATTGGTAATTAGCTTGATGGCAACCAGACCTAAGTGAATGTGTTGGCAGAGCACTTGGTGATTAATTGCTTACTCAAGACTGCACTTCTTGTTACCAATACTTACTGTGTCAAGCTTATCAAGTTTGCCTGTGAAAGCTCTAGTTCCAGAGACTAATCATGAGCTCACCGGAGATCTAAGGCAGCAAAAGTGTGGTGATTCTATAGCTGATTGCTTCATGTTGGTGCTTATCTGGTGGAAACAATTTTACTAAAGTAGTCAAGTAAAGTGGGTTCGAGTCGGTAGAGTCTGGTGCAAGCGGTAGAGTCTTACCGCCTGTGACCGGAAGGTCCCGGGTTCGAGTCGCGGTCTCCTCGCATTGCACAGGCGAGGGTAAGGCTTGCCACTGACACCCTTCCCCAGACCCCGCACAGAGCGGGAGCTCTCTGCACTGGGTACGCCCTTTAGTCAAGTAAAGTGGGTTGAAGGGCGGGCCTGGTGCAAGCGGTAGAGTCTTACCGCCTGTGACCGGAAGGTCCCGGGTTCGAGTCGCGGTCTCCTCGCATTGCACAGGCGAGGGTAAGGCTTGCCACTGACACCCTTCCTCAGACCCCGCACAGAGCGGGAGCTCTCTGCCCTGGGTACGCCCTTTAGTCAAGTAAAGTGGGTTGAGCTACAAGTTATCAGCACACATAGTTCAGTTAAACCTGAAAGGTTGCAGCAAATGAAAGTATTGCAGGGATGGCCACATGAAGATCAGATCAAATTTAAAGTGGAACTCATATAACAAACAAGCACCAATTGGCTATAGTTCTGAAAACATCCAACCATAGCTAGGTCCGTATGAGTGACGGTTTCGACAACTGGTTCATGTTCTGCCTACAATTAACAAGGGATCCTGGTAGTGACACACATGCTATATTCAGAATGTTGGTTCATGAAATTTTGAGTTGCTTTTTGGACTTCTTTGATTGCTACTGCAGAAATACACCTTCTTAGTTATGGATGACTGGTGTTCATCAGTGATAGGCCATTGCTCTGGGATCCCTATGAAGTTGTATCCATCTTAAAAATTCCACTATGGAGTGGGCCATTGGGCTTGCCAGGAGGAACTACAGGGAAACAGCAGCACGATAAGGCATCAGTCGACTGAACCAGAAATGAATCATTCCCTTTTACTATTCTTCTTTGACCTCTACATCTACAACTCTTCATCCTCCTCTGAATTCCCCTCATGTATCACTACTAGTCCTGTACTTTCTCCCTGTAGCCTCCTGCGGTTGGCCCGGTACTACATCTAGTGCTTGGTGTTTTGCTTCTAATGGAGTTGGACGCTAACACATGGTCCTAACTATGATTAACCATATTAAATACCTGGCACTAGTTACCTTTTCTAAGACACTAGAAAGTTAAAGTAAATGAACACTAAGCATCGATCCTGCAAACTTCTGAACAAGTGTTTGTGATGCAACTTTGATAACATTCCCGAGAGCGAGCGAACCCCCAATGCGCGAAAATCCTCCTCGTTTCACCAGTACACATACCACAACAAATACCACCGTCCATATATGATCCAAAATTATGAAATCTCGACCATTCTCTAGTAACCAACACAGAATGCCACCAACTAAATCACACACGAAACAGGAGATGAAGGCGCTAAACTAAACAGGAGATTGGGCGCGCGTATTTACCCGAGAAAAGGACTTCCGCCACCTCGAGCGTGGAGAAGGATTCAGCCAAGGCGGTGGCGAGGCGGACCTTATGGTCGGACTCCGATAGCCCGACCTCGGCCTTCTCGGGAAAGTATGTCGGCCAGGCACCCGCGAGCCTTTTGAAGGTGTCGTCGTCCCTAGTGCGCCCTTTGGGTTGGTGACCCTTCATTGTGTCGGCGTACATGTCACCGCCTCACCGGAAATCTCAGAGTCCAGAGCCTCGCCTCTCCGGCGAGTCGTCGCGGGCGGGGGGCGAGACTTGATGGTGGCGGGCGGGCCGAGCCGTCGAGCAAAATTTCCCCGCGGGGTTTTTGCGCGGTGGCCGTGGGAAAAAACGCCGGAGAAAGCAGAAAGTGTTCCAGCCGCGGCGCTTCGATGTCAGTGGCAGACAGGTGGGGCCCATCCTGTTACACGACAGATCAAAACCCTAGATGGGCCACAGTGTTCCGCTCATTCGGGCCGCCATGCCCAGTTTTAGCATGCCGTCACTTGTCCAGACAAAAAACATGTTCAATCTGGCCCAGACAAAAAGCAGGCTTAATCTAGCCCAGACAAAGTAGTTTTGATTTGGCCCACGGTTGTTCTCGTGTGGGTGCTGTACTAATGTGCTAGCCAAAAGAAAGAAAGAAAGCAACAACAAAACGCTCCGTGTGCAGCACAGCTAAGGGCCTGTATGGATGAGCTATAGCTAGTTATTAGTCAGGCTAAAAATTAGTTCAAACTAGCTATGATGGTCTTAGTTGAAGACTTGGCTAACCAGTGTTATCCTTAACGCTTAACCGTAAACAGTGGTTCGCCCTTCGTTTAGCATTTAATCCGTTTACACCGTATTTAAACGGAGTTAAACGGTCTAGACAGTTTTACACAATATTATTTATTGATGTAGAATCAATTGTTCTAGCATTTATACATATTTATGAAATTAAAAATCAATTATTTTAGTATGTATATGTTTATGCATGTAAAAAGAATCAAATATATATATTCATACATGTAAGAAATCAAGTATACATACTTATAAATATAATTAAACTTAAGTATACAAATTTATGCATGTAAATTTAATTGTATTTACCTGGTGTTTGTCTAAACAGATGTTTAAGCAGTCATTTAACCCGTTTAAAACCGTTTATCTCCGTTCTATTTAGGGCGTTTAGACCATTTACCCCTATTTTTTACCGTTTAAACATTCAACCGTTTAATTTCCAAATACCCCTAAACAAAATAATTTGCTGCCGTTTAGCAGTCATTTAAATGTCCGTTTAGGCTATTTAGGCGATTAATTGTGACTAACAAATTAGCCCAATTTATTAGCCCTCTTATTTGAATACACTAGAACTAATTTTTAGCTAGATAGCAATTAGCCCTTGTATTCAAATAGGCTCTAAGAAGTGAGAGCTTATGTCAGCATGCTTTGCTTGATTGCCTAATGGGGGATATGGAGACGGTGTGCCTTGGTCTGGACCTTAAGTCCTATTTCACACTCCTTCACCAGCTCTAGGAATTGTTTAGAGCTATTTTATGTCAAAGGGGATAAAATGAAAAAACTTCACCGTAGTAGCTTATTAAAATATGCTCTCAGAAGGGGTGGATGGGAGAGTAGCTTCTCCTAGCTCCCACTCGCTTTGGTGGGCTCTACATGGGATTCTGTGAGAGCATATTTTAACGAGCTCCACATAGAGTTGTTTTCATCAAAACAATTTCAACTCCATCGGTAGAGTTTTAGCTTGACAAGCCAATTGCCTATAGAACTTGTTGTTATGCGTTAATGAGTCCAACGAAACAAGTTTCACTTCAATTAGGAGCATGTTGACACCTAAAGTGGCAGAGGAGTAAACCGCAAGCGTACAGTAGTCAATGTAGCCTTCACCGGGAGTATTCCAGGTATCGTATTTCCACGGGGAACGTGAAGTGAACTAAGGATCAAGACTGTCCTATGATGATACCAAAGAGCCTATGGAACTTGGGTAGAGGATCTAGATAGCAATGATATCTGATAAAGATAGTAGTTATACAGGGCAATTCACTCACCTTACTTACAGGAGGCGATGGGCGAGACAATAGGAGACAAAACCCCTATCCGAAGCTACTACCTTGTTACTGGAGCCCTACCTTTTAAGAACTTGCCTACAACACGTGGTGGAATGCAAAGGCTAGACAAGGCTGTCACCACCTGCTAGCTACCACTAACAATCCGTGCGACAAGCGATCTACACAGGCAAGATATAGTCTAGACGCCACGTCTACACTATACTTACTACTCTAGCCTCGGCCAACTAAGTTCCCTTAGAAAGGCTAGAGCACTCTACTGAAGTAAAATGGTGTACAGGTAAGAAGGCTTATATAACTACTAGTAGAGACAATATCAAATACTATAAAGAACTCGGATGTATTACTTACCAAAAGATAGCATCCGCTGAGGTACACCTTGGAGAAGACTCCCGATAGCCCCAGGGCTTTCTCCTAAAGACTTCCCTCACTCTCTCCCTAATTACATAGCACTACAACAGAGCTTCGCTAAAAGCTACTAGAGAGTGGTTTACTCTAATGTGTCATACATGAGAGTGAAGGCCTAGGGGGTATTTATAGCTAGAGGATGAGTAGGGGCTACTCCGGTGCCACCTCAACAATCCGTGTGAGCTTCATCATGCACCCATTGGATCCACCGCCATCAAACCGACTTGAAATCAAGGGTTGAGGTTATTTGACATGTGTTCAATATGTGGGAAGTCGGTGGACTGCTGGAGGCTCCATAGGGAGGTCGGCCGACCTCCCTATGATAGCTTGGGCCCACCACTTCCTTCTAGAAGGTGTCCCCACATGTCATGGTGGAAGTTGGATACTTTTGTCACGTTGGATGCTTCGTTGTGGGCAATTGAATCCCTGTGCTCTCCCTCTTAGCCAATAGGAGAAGAGAACCTCGGGATCCAAAGGTGAAGATTGACTCTAGAAGTGTTGGGAGGATCACGGGAGGCTTAGGAGGGGGCAGTGAAAGCTCTAGTTTGGTTTTGGATAATTGATTAAACCTATGTACTAACCTTTGTCATGAGTTGTGATATGAGTTAGGTTGGTACAATCCAAGTGTGGAGCATGGTGGCACTCAAGAGATGCTGTTGATCACATGAAATGAAGAGATGGCCACATGAGATGATGATCAAGTACTCAACTTGAAAAAGAAGAAAGAGAAAAATAAAACCCTATGGAGATCAAGGCAAAGGTATAAATATGGATTTTATTTTGGTGATCAAGACACTATAGAGAGTGTGATCACATTTAGGATCGATGGTCGTACTATTAAGAGGGGTTCTCAATTAGACAATTCGGTTATCTAGTGCCACTAGGTGTTGGACTTCATGCATTGCATTTAGGTCTAGTGCACATCAGAGAGCAAGCAAAAATATTTATCAAAAATGATTTGAGAAATGCTAACTTGGCTCTAACATGTTTTGAGAAAACATTTGAGAGTTAGCAATGCTTGCAAAATAGTGTTAGACCGCTTATGGATCGAAACGAGAATAAAAAAATGCAGCTAATGGAGGTGTTTGCCTCGGGGTTGTCACCACCATGGCAGGGACGGTGCACCGCCCTTGTAACAGAACCGACCAATTTATAAGAGCACAAGTATAAAAGCAATCACCGGAGTTATCAAACCGTCATACTTGAACCCATATAAACCCGGTAGTCAACTCAAACCACGAAGGATTTCAAACCAACTTGCATACAACCAAGACCGTAGTGATTCAACATAACAAGCCACATGTTACATACATTTCACAAGTAGTTCACAAGTATCTCATACATCAGAGTTCACATAGTTATTACAACACGAGTTCACAAATAGCGGAAGCAAAGTAGTTTGAGACCATCACACACACTTAGTTCAAATACAAGCCAATTCCATAGTCATATCCAGCAAAAGCAACATGATAAGATAACATAGAAGATCATGCCCATGATCTAGTCTTCATCCCCCGTAGGGTGGAGACAATACTTGCAGTAGCCGTTATAAAGCATGTCATCTACAACAAAAGGGAATAAACCCTGAGTATGAGAATGTACTCAGCTAGACTTACCCGTCGTAAACCAAAAATAAATGACACCAAGGAGTATGCAAGGCTTTATCAATGGATCTTGCTTGACAACCATTTTACATAAAAGCTTTAATGATACAAGAGCATAACTTAAATTATTAATTAAGCGAGCAAGTTATCAATATGAACTTGTCATCTAGATTACTTTTGTACTAGAGCAAGCAATTGATTAACTCCAAACATTAGTAACCATATCCGGTCTAATGTTGTAACATCATCATCATCATTATAACCATCAAGTTCAATTTAGTGTATCTACGTTGCCACTGCTCAGTCAAGTTCTCACTATCCAGGAGAGACGGCGATTCGAATCGATTCCTACCCAGCTAGGAAATTATTCCTAACATAAACCCAATCAACCTGATCAGTGGTTGCCTTAGGTCACCTTTGGTACAACTCAGGAATAAATTCGCAGTTCCGAGCAGCGCCGCACTCTTAGGGAATCCACTCTGCCAAGTGGTCAATCTCACCTTTGGACTTACGCCAATGGCTCCCCGCACATCCTTACTATCGCCAGAGTGCACACTTTCACTTCTTGGCCCTCCGGCCTGAGTTGAGCTACTCGGCCATTTGCCGGAATGAGTTATCCGCCAACTAAGTGATTGACATGCGTTCAACATGACATGAGGACGTACAACGAATCGGTCCTTAACCGACACAGATGGGGATAGATCCACACCCAAGACCTCCTTGCCTTGTTGCTTCTCTATCGACATCCCGCCCGGTCTCAATTCATTATTAACACATGGTTATTTTCCATGATAGCAAATATAGCCAACTGTGACCAGACATCACCCTAACTTGCAGGTGATAGGAAATCACCTGACTTTATCGGTCTAAGCAAGGCTAAGCTTTGATTCGCTCCTGGACCTAAATAGGATTTAGGGTACGTTTACTGGACAAGGAATAGATGTATGTGCAACAAGTGTTTGCATCCAGTTCCTATCACTTAATGCATCAAACATATAAAGATACTCAAAGTAATCATTTTCAAAACATAGGAGACTTAGAATACTCCAGGGCTTGCCTTTTAGAAAAGAGGATGGTTGGTGATCAGGACACTCAAGAACTTCTTCTT